GGCAAATTCAGCTAGTTGGGGCCAAAGGTCAAGTTTCGTTGCCCAGTAGTCAAGGGGATTGTCTACCTCGGTTGGCAGGGTGCTGTCCAAGTAGGCCCAAGCCTGTTGTTTGAGCTCCTGCTCCAGGTCCACCTGATGCTGCTGCTGCTGCTGCGGCTGGTTAGTAGTTTCCTCACTGCGCTGGTGAAGAAAGCTACTCATCATCGACTGCAGACTGAGGCAGCCGCTGCTGGTGGAGCTGCCACTGCTCCTACCACCCCCCCCCTCCCCTGCTGCCATGGCAGCGGAACGCGAGCGCACAGGGCCCACAGTGTCTGAGGATGGACGTTGGCGCAGAAAGGCAGAGACCAACTGACTACATAGGTGGTTTTTATAGTACTTTATTTTGGCATCCCTCTCAGCAGGTGTGAAAAAGGCCACCATTTTTGAACGGTAGCGAGGGTCCAACAAGGTGGACAGCCAAAAGTCATCCCTCTGTCTGATGGTTATTATTCGGCTGTCGCTACGCAAGCAACCGAGCATGCTATGGGCCATTTGTGCCAAGGAATGCGAGGGACTCCCTGCCTCCATCTCCACAGCATACTGCCACGGTGCGTCTGGGTCCTCTGTCTCCTCCTCCTCCTCTACCAGATGCTCCTGCTCCTCCACTCCTGTCCGCTGAGTGGAAAAACCACCCATTTCACTCAATAATTCCTGAGCACCAATGTCCTCCTCTACCTCCTCCTCTTCTTCCTGTCCTGCCCCCACAGGGGTCATGTGGCGTTGAGATCTGTGCGCCACGTCTACCGCACCCTGACCAGCCATTGTTAACAGCATTTGTTCCAGGACGTGCAACAGAGGAATGACGTCGTTCATCCCATAGTCCTGCCGACTCACGAATAGCGTGGCCTCCTCAAAGGGCCTGAGCAAGCGGCAGGTGTCACGCATGAGCTGCCAATGGCTGACATCTAAGTTACACAGGGGAGTACCTTTATCCGCTTGTAACATCAGGAAATCGGTGATGGCCTTTCGCTGTTCGTAAAGGCGGTCTAACATATGTAGGGTTGAATTCCACCTTGTTGCAACGTCGCAGATCAGGCGATGCTGTGGAATTCCGTTCTGCCGCTGCAGCTCAAGGAGGGTGTGCTTTGCGGTGTAGGAATGGCTGAAATGCATGCAAAGTTTACGTGACATTTTAAGGATGTCTTGCAGTGGGATGGTGGATTTTAGGAACCGCTTGACAACCAGATTGAACACGTGAGCCATGCATGGCGCATGGCACAACCTTCCTTGACGCAGAGCAGACACCATGTTCTTTCCGTTGTCGGTCAACATGGTTCCGATTTTCAGTTTGCGCGGAGACAGCCATCTGTCGATTTCTCTGTTCATTACACTCAGAAGTTCCTCCCCTGTGTGACTACGTTCGCCAAGGCATACCAGGTGCAGCACAGCGTGACACCGTTGCGCCCTGCACATGTGATATGCCGGTCGGGTAATGGGACTTGGCACGGGGGTGGCGGCTGAGGACACGGCGGAAGAAGAGGTGGTAGAGGCGGACATCTTTGCTGGACCAAGGACGTGCAAACGTGGAGGCAAAAGCGGCGTGACCTGTCCAAGTTGCTGGTGCGGCTGTGCCGGCACCACGTTCACCCAGTGGGCCGTAAATGACATGTACTGTCCCTGACCGTAGTTACAGCTCCACACGTCGGCGCTGCCGTGCACTTTGGCAGAGACCGACATGCTCAAAGACTGGCCCACCATCTCTTCTACATGTGAATGCAGGGCTGGCACTGCCTTTTTGGCGAAGAAATGCCGGCTTGGCACTCTCCACCGCGGCTCGGCACAAGCCATCATTTCTCGGAAAGGTGCTGAGTCCACCACTTGGAAAGGGAGGGACTGCAGCACCAGCAACTTGGACAGGAGGACGTTCAGCTTCTGCACCGTCGGGTGCGTGCTCGCAAACTGTTGTCTCTTGGAAACGGATTCCAAGAAAGACTGCTGACGGAATCCGTGAAGAGGAGTAGCAGGAGAAGGAGCATCTGAACGAGCGGAAGATGCCAACGAGCGACAACTCCCCTCAGCAGAGGTGTTGGAGCCTTGACTGGCTGATAGAGGGCGATTGACGTCGGGTGACGGAGCAAGTAACGGAGCGGGTGATGGAGCGGGGGCTGGGGCAGGCAGAACCGCCGTATCTTTATCACGGTTTTCCCAGGCCACCGAATGGCGACGCTGCATATGCTGACGCAAGGCTGTAGTCCCAACATGGGCCCCCTGGCCACGCTTGACTTTCTGGCCACATAGTCGACATACGGCTACGTTTACTTCCTCGGGCGGCTTGACGAAAAATTGCCACACCGCCGAGTAGGAAACTTTGCCCCCGCTACTCCTCACTGGCTGACTGCTACTTCCTCCGTGCACACCGGCACCACTACTGGCCGTGGTGGTAGGCTGCAGTGGAGCTGGTGCTCTACTCCGTGGCCGTTTGCCTCCACTGACACTGCTGCGACCCTGCTGCCTCCTGGGCAACCCACCGACTGTTTTGCTCGCTGGCAAGCTGGCACCCTCTTCTCCTGATGATGCGGAAGCAATAGCCTGATGACGACGAGGCTGCCAAGTGTGATCAGCCTCATCATCATCAATTAGGGTCTCCGCGTCACTACTAGCCCCCTCGGCTGCGTGTGGGTCAGGAGACAGACCTGTCTCTAGACCGGCTACCGAGCCACTCTCCTCGCCAGTACTTCTTCGCCTGGCTGCTGAAGAGGCGGATGTCTCCCCCCGTTCCTGACCGCCCTCTGTTAGCTCTTCCTCACTGTACAGTGGGGCTGAGCCCACAGCATGCGATACTTCGCTTGGTGAGGGAACACCAAAGGACAGGGGCAGGTAGAGGACACGTGATTTCAGTGGGCTTGCTCCTGGGCCATGCCAACTAACGGTTGTGTCTGACGTACCCACCGACCGTTGGCTGTAGGTGTCAGAGGTGACCTGGGAAGAGGAAGACGACCGAGTCAACCAATCGATGACGGCAGGGTTGTCGGTGGAGACACGACCGCTGGATGACACCGGGAGCACTGGCCTCTGGCTGCGACTAGTGCTGCCTCAACCCCTTCCTCTGCTGCCACATCTGCTCGCTCCTGAAACATTGCCTCCTCTGCCACTTCTCTGCATGTTGTCTGACATACTCTTTAATTCAATAAGCACCCCAAACATAAAACAGGATTTAACTCTTTGAACGTACATAGTGGTTGTGAAGCAGAAAGTAACTGTCAGGGCTCCCAGGTGTGACCAGAGATGTGTGACTGACGCAGGGAAACGCAGACCTCAGATATGTTATAAACAATATAATTTATTAACACTAACAATACAAACATAAACGCCGTGCAATACTAAAACATAATACAGTGCAAACAAACCAAACCAAACCACCCACAGATAACAGTACATACAAGCAAGCGTCGTCAGGCAGGCCGGGTCAATATCAATAGGGCAGGTAGGTACAGGGGGAGCAAGCGGAGATTGGTCAGGGTCACAAGCCAGGGATCAGAACAGGTAGCAAGCAGCGTGGTACAGAGGGTCAGACAGAGGGATGGTCAGGAGCGAGCCGGGATCAGAGCAGGAGAAGTCAGCAGCGGTTCAGAAACAGGATGCAGGACAGAAACAGGATGCAGGACAGAAACAGGATACAGGGCCCAGGACAAACACACACCAAGGCAGAGTCTGTGGGTCTGGCCATCCCTTAAATACCCCAGCATAATCAGTTACAGGTGTTAGCTGGCTGCAAAGTTGAGTCTCTGATTGCTGGGAACACCCGCTGGCCAGCCCTGGTACTGCAGATCAAAAGGCAGGTGAGTCCCACCATAGCTGGCCAGTCCATTCCTGACAGTACCCCCCCCCCTCAAGGAGCGGCCTCAGGACGCTCCAAACAGTCCGGGCATCGGACCCCCAGGCGGGGCGACGGGCATCGGACCCCCAGGCGGGGGCGACGGGCCTCGGACCCCCAGGCGGAGCGGCGGGCGCCGGACCCCCAGGCGGAGCGACAGGTCTCAGGCCCTCAGGCGGAGCGACAGGCATCGGACCCCCAGGCGGATCGACAGGCATCGGACCCCCAGGCGGGGCGACAGGCATCGGACCCCCAGGCGGGGCGACAGGCATCGGGCCCCCAGGCGGGGCGACAGGCATCGGGCCCCCAGGCGGAGCCCCATGCGGAGCGGGGCGCCGGACCCCCAGGCGGAGCTACAGGTCTCGGGCCCTCAGGCGGAGCGGCGGCGGGCGCCGGACCCCCAGATGGAGCGACAGGTCTTGGGCCCTCAGGCGGAGCAACAGGTCTCGGGCCCCCAGACGAAGCGGCGGGCACCGAGTCACCAGGCACGACAGTGGGCACCGAGTCGTCTGGCAAGACTGCGGGCACCGAGTCAACTGGCGGAACAGCGGGCATCGAGGAGCAACTGGCGGAACAGCGGGCATCGAGTCAACTGGCGGAACAGCGGGCACCGAGTCGTCTGGCAAGACTGCGGGCACCGAGTCGTCTGGCAAGACTGCGGGCACCGAGTCAACTGGCGGAACAGCGGGCATCGAGTCAACTGGCGGGACTGCGGGCACCGAGTCGTCTGGCAAGGCTGCGGGCACCGAGTCGTCTGGCAAGGCTGCGGGCACCGAGTCGTCTGGCAAGGCTGCGGGCACCGAGTCGTCTGGCAAGGCTGCGGGCACCGAGTCGTCTGGCAAGGCTGCGGGCACCGAGTCGTCTGGCAAGGCTGCACACCGAGTCGTCTGGCAAGACTGCGGGCACCGAGTCAACTGGCGGAACAGCGGGCATCGAGTCAACTGGCGGAACAGCAGGCACCGAGTCGTCTGGCAAGACTGCGGGCACCGAGTCATCTGGCAAGACTGCGGCGCACCGAGTCAACTGGCGGAACAGCGGGCACCGAGTCAACTGGCGGAACAGCAGGCACCGAGTCGTCTGGCAAGACTGCGGGCACCGAGTCGTCTGGCAAGACTGCGGGCACCCGAGTCGTCTGGCAAGACTGCGGGCACCGAGTCGTCTGGCAAGACTGCGGGCACCGAGTCGTCTGGCAAGACTGCGGGCACCGAGTCGTCTGGCAAGACTGCGGGCATCGAGTCAACTGGCAAGACTGCGGGCATCGAGTCAACTGGCGGAACAGTGGGCACCGAGTCGTCTGGCAAGACTGCGGGCACCGAGTCGTCTGGCAAGACTGCGGGCACCGAGTCGTCTGGCAAGACTGCGGGCACCGAGTCAACAGGCACGACAGTGGGCACCGGGTCATCAGGTATCGGATTGTCTGGCTCGACAGCGGGGCATCGGGTCACCAGGTATGACAGCGGGCACTGGGTCACCAGGCATCAGGTCAATTGGCTTGCCAGCGGGCACCGCGTCATCTGGCAAGGCAGTGGGCACCGGGTCACCAGGTATGACAGCGGGCTCTGAGTCAATTGGCACGACAGCGGGCACTGGATCAGGTACCGGATCATCTGGATCAACAGCGGGCATCGAGTCAACTGGCCTAATAGGATCGTCGGGCTGGATCAGTTCATCATGCTGAGTAGCGGCATCAGGCTGAATGCAGGCTTCAGGCTGAGGAGAGGCTTCAGGCTGAGGAGAGGCTTCAGGCTGAGGAGAGGCTTCAGGCTGAGGAGAGGCATCAGGCTGAGGAGAGGCATCAGGCTGAGGAGAGGCATCAGGCTGAAGAGAGGCATCCGGCTGAGTAGAGGCTTCAGGCTGAGTCACGGAAGGCAGGTTCACCGGTTTGGATCAATTTTACAAGTATCCTCCTGCGCTCAATATAGACACAATCCCTACCTTAACAGCTGCTGTCACTCTACCTTAACCATTAAGTAGCCAAATATATACAAAAAATAGTGAAGCGCTTAATAAATAAACATATAAACTACATATATTAAGGTGCCATCAGTGAATAAAGTGCTAAACGTTAATATTCCTTGTAAACGCTGGAATATTATCAACCAATATTAATTAGAAGTAGTATTAAACCAACCAAACTGAATTCCTAATTTATCAGTGATAAACACAACAGTGACAAATGATGATATAACTCCACAGAGGTATCCTTATCCTCCTTCACTATTTAAATAAAAAGTGCAATAATTGAAGTGAATAAGTGTATACAAAAAAACTTTTTTTTAAAAGTGCATATACAAATCATATATATATGTATAAAGCATACATCATATATATATAAATAAATAAATAAATAAATAAAGTCCATGCAAGTGTAACTTGTGATAGAACAGTGATCTCCACTTCTAGTGCTCAAACACAAATCCTCAAATGGCAGCAGTGCCTGCTCACCTCCCCACACTGACCCTCAAGGGGCCAAAAGGCTACTGATCTCCTCTATGGCAAACTTTCTCCTCCTCCTCTCGGTAGCTCAGCAGGTGATCCCAAGGTCTCCACTTCTCCTCCACTCATATATCATATAGGGCAAAAAACAGAACTTCCCATAGTGTAATAATGTTTATTGCAAGCCACTTCTCATTACATAGCGGTTATACTCACATTGGATTTCCTGTTACAAAAGCCTTCCACCTCATCCTATAGGTGTATCCTATGAACACAGGGGGAAACCAATATGGCCGCTCCGTTCGGACATGCGTCCCACGTGACCGGAAGTGACGTAATTCCAAAACCGGATATGGCGTACCATGGTACGCCATATCCGGTTTTGGAATTACGTCACTTCCGGTCACGTGGGACGCATGTCCGAACGGAGCGGCCATATTGGTTTCCCCCTGTGTTCATAGGATACACCTATAGGATGAGGTGGAAGGCTTTTGTAACAGGAAATCCAATGTGAGTATAACCGCTATGTAATGAGAAGTGGCTTGCAATAAACATTATTACACTACACTATGGGAAGTTCTGTTTTTTGCCCTATATGATATATGAGTGGAGGAGAAGTGGAGACCTTGGGATCACCTGCTGAGCTACCGAGAGGAGGAGGAGAAAGTTTGCCATAGAGGAGATCAGTAGCCTTTTGGCCCCTTGAGGGTCAGTGTGGGGAGGTGAGCAGGCACTGCTGCCATTTGAGGATTTGTGTTTGAGCACTAGAAGTGGAGATCACTGTTCTATCACAAGTTACACTTGCATGGACTTTATTTATTTATTTATTTATTTATATATATATGATGTATGCTTTATACATATATATATGATTTGTATATGCACTTTTAAAAAAAAGGTTTTTTGTATACACTTATTCACTTCAATTATTGCACTTTTTATTTAAATAGTGAAGGAGGATAAGGATACCTCTGTGGAGTTATATCATCATTTGTCACTGTTGTGTTTATCACTGATAAATTAGGAATTCAGTTTGGTTGGTTTAATACTACTTCTAATTAATATTGGTTGATAATATTCCAGCGTTTACAAGGAATATTAACGTTTAGCACTTTATTCACTGATGGCACCTTAATATATGTAGTTTATATGTTTATTTATTAAGCGCTTCACTATTTTTTGTATATATTCACCGGTTTGGATACTGGCAGGATGGTATTGGTTGGAAAGAATTTTCGCTTTTTTCTGGTTTTAACTACTGGAGCACTGCAAGTAAACGCAGGTCTGCAAACGAATGGAGCAGCTGGAGACAGAGAAAAACTGGAGGATGGAACAGGAGAGGGAGCAGTTGCTACAGAGGGCTTTTTTACAGGGTTAAAGGCAGGATAGGTGCAGCGAGTGGGAACAGGGTACTGACATGCGGTAGATAGCCAAGTATACTGGGCTGTAACTGGAGGAGCTGGTGGGAATACAGGAGTAGAGTTAGAAGCAGGACTGGGTTTTTGTAAGCTGACTGAGGCTGGGTGCAACAAGTCTGTCCATGTCTGCAGTAGGGGTTGAACAAAGCTGAGCTTACACAAAGCCTGTCTGGTCAATGACTGCACTGCGTTTATACAATCTCTTAGTGTCTGTGGTGAACATGTGGAATAACGCTCCAGAAAGTAACCCACATCATCCTCTAATAACCACACCAGGGACTCAACCTGGTCTGCACTAAATGGTGGCAAAAATTCATCCCTGCATTCGGGGGAACCAGATGAAACCAACTCAACACAAACCTGAATCAATGGCTGCACCATAGAGAAATCTGTGCCCTGATCTACTAGAACATGAGCGAGCCGTATACATTCTAGCAGTTCATCCCGGGGATACTCCTTCAGAGTCTGATAAGCATACTCTCTGTCATCAAGCACTAGCAGAGATAAATACTCAACCTCATCCAGATCCATCCTTCCCATCAACAAGCCAAGATGGCTTCCCTGTGCAGCCACTTCTGGTCAGGATTGGCCTTGGTGTAATGTCAGGGCTCCCAGGTGTGACCAGAGATGTGTGACTGACGCAGGGAAACGCAGACCTCAGATATGTTATAAACAATATAATTTATTAACACTAACAATACAAACATAAACGCCGTGCAATACTAAAACATAATACAGTGCAAACAAACCAAACCAAACCACCCACAGATAACAGTACATACAAGCAAGCGTCGTCAGGCAGGCCGGGTCAATATCAATAGGGCAGGTAGGTACAGGGGGAGCAAGCGGAGATTGGTCAGGGTCACAAGCCAGGGATCAGAACAGGTAGCAAGCAGCGTGGTACAGAGGGTCAGACAGAGGGATGGTCAGGAGCGAGCCGGGATCAGAGCAGGAGAAGTCAGCAGCGGTTCAGAAACAGGATGCAGGACAGAAACAGGATGCAGGACAGAAACAGGATACAGGGCCCAGGACAAACACACACCAAGGCAGAGTCTGTGGGTCTGGCCATCCCTTAAATACCCCAGCATAATCAGTTACAGGTGTTAGCTGGCTGCAAAGTTGAGTCTCTGATTGCTGGGAACACCCGCTGGCCAGCCCTGGTACTGCAGATCAAAAGGCAGGTGAGTCCCACCATAGCTGGCCAGTCCATTCCTGACAGTAACGATTCTGTGTCCCTGAGTAACGATTCTGTGTCCCTGAGTAACGATTCTGTGTCCCTGAGTAACGATTCTGTGTCCCTGAGTAATGATTCTGTGTCCCTGAGTAACGATTCTGTGTCTGTCCCTGAGTAACGATTCTGTGTCCCTGAGTAACAATTCTGTGGCCCTAAAGTCTCTGTGGCCCTAACTCTGTCCCTAATACAGACAGGTCTGTCTCTCTTGAATGACCGGAGGCTAATGGAGAATTCTAAGATGGCCGCGATTTATAGCTCCACCATTACACAGTGCTGGCTGGCTGGCTGCTGATTGGCTAATGCGATCACATGTCATGAATGAATGCATTATGGGTCAGCGCGCCTTGTCTGCGCGTCTTCCCAGAGATCCCCGCTTCGTCGCCACACATGTCGCCGCAATTTTTGGGAAAATTCGATTCGTGCATCCGAAGTTTGCTAATTTTCGGATTCGGCGCAAATCGAATTTTTCCTAATCTTCGAAACGAATTCCACTTCGTCATGTTCGATTCGCTCATCTCTAATTAACACCTTAAAAGAAAAAAGCAAGGTTACAGTGAGCTAAAGAAAAGCAATAATGGACTGTAGATGACTGGATGAAAATTATATTCAGGGAAATCACCAATCTGTACTGGGCAGGGTGATGATACTGGAACTTTTGTTTGGTGCTGTTCCAATGAAATCTATAAAGATGACTGCCTGAAGAAAACATACAACTTTTCACAATCATTGATGATATGGGGTTGCATGTCAGGTGAAGATACAGAGGAGATGACAGTCATTAAATCTTCAATAAATGCACAAGTTTATATTGAGATTGTGGACACTTTTCTTATTCCATCCATGTTTGCCGATGATGACATAATTTTTCAGGATGATAATGCATCTTGCCATAGGGCAAAGCCGTGAAAACTTTCCTTCAAGAAAGACATATATCAATGGCATTGCCTGCAAATAGTACGGACCTCAATCCAGTTAAAAATCTATGGTGGAAATAAAAGAAAAAGGTCCATGACAAGGCTCCAACCTGCAAAGCTGATCTGGCACTTGCAATAAGAGAAAGTTGGAGCCGTATTGATGAAGAATACTGTTTGTTGATAGTTAAATCCATGCCTCAGAGAATTCAAGCTGTTATAAAAGCCAGAGGTGGTACAACAAAGTACTTGTGGTATACTGTAGTGTTTCTTTATTTCATAAAATTTTCCTCAGAATTGAGTGATTCCATATTCCATTCATTCTTTTTTATTTTTTTAAGTGATTCTTAAAGCCAGAAGGTTGGAATGTTAAATGAAAATAGTTTTGAGTCATGTCTGTGATTAGTTTCTTTTCTACACAATGAACAATTGAATGAACATTTTCCAAGAGTGGTGATTCCATATTTTTTGCCAGGGGTTGTAATGCTTAAGTCTTTTATTATTTGAACAATTGATAGATTCGTTTATTACTGAATGATGAAACTCCACTGTAGTCAGAGCCCTTGAATCAACTGAATCAAAGGGTTGAGAATTTGAGGACCAGGTATATGCCCTGCAGATTCACTAAGGGGATACACCT